CAGGGCAACCTCTTCAAATCTTCACTCTCAGTCACCTCACAGATCTGATCAGTTCCTAAATCTTGGTGTTTCTATCTTCATAATACCTCTCATGAATGTTCTCTTATACTCACATACATTATAACCTCTTACCTGAACTATTCCAATAGCTTCTAAGTAGATTCTTTGCCTCAGGTCTCCCCCCATTCCAATCCAGCTTCCACTGAGCCACCAAAGCAATTTGCTAAAGTAAAGATCTGACAATATAACCCTCTACTCAATAAACTCCATCAAGGTCTATGGACTTTAAAAAATGTCTGTTTCATTTGTCCCCTCCTCTCTATTGCCATTGCTACCATCCTAGTCTATTCCTTCATCTTGGAGTACAGCAGTATCTTTCTGATTGGTTTCCCATAGTAGATAGATAGGTAGATAGATAGATAGATAGATAGATAGATAGATAGATAGATAGATAGATAGATAGACAGATAGATAGACAGACAGACAGATAAATAGATAGATGGATGGATGGATGGATGGATGGATGGATGGATAGATAGAGAAAATGAGTAGGCCTTTCAAGTACTTACTGCCTGCCAGACTCTGCTATGTACAGGGGATTGAAGTACAAAAAGCAAAAAGCCTTGCCCTCAAGAAGATTACAGTGTAATAAGGGAAGAAAGTACATAATGGGAGCAGGAAATAAGGGAATAGGGAGTACAGGTGGTAGCATGGTATGGAGTTTGCTGGGAAGAGATGTGGAAGCTTGGATCCCAGAATGATAAGGCAAACACTCCTCATCCCTGCACTCCTTTTATCTAGGGGGTACTATGGGGTATTCAGGGAAGACTAGCCCCCCCCCGGTGTGAGGGCTTGCCAAGCCCTTGTCAGGGCTGCTCATCCACCTTTGGTGTCCATCTGTCACCTAACTCTCACCTGTGGTTCCAAGAAGGTGCAGCATGTGCAGTGATCACATCCCAATAAAACTCTGTGGGCAGACAGGCTAAATAAGGTTGAGGATAATTGATAGACCTCAAACCCACCAGTGAGTTAAAGGGGTATCTGCTCCCAGCACGTGAAGACTTCCCTCAGCAGATTGGGTAGATGAGACCAATTCATCCTGTGAAGGTGGCTGAGGCCATGAAGGTGGCTGAGCAGGAGCTATGAAGCACTTAGAGCTTGGTCGGGCATCAAAGATGCCACCAAGGTCATCCACTGCATGCCAAGCCATTGCCAGTCATCTTGACTTTTGTCCTGCCGCTGGACTTTGATGACTGGTAGAGTGATGCTGATGACTTTGCCTCACTTAACACTAATTCATGCATCAGTTAGGACATCATCTGTGGTGTCATCAGTCCTCTTTGAAAATGAAGGACAGACAACTGTTGTCTATTCTGCTGCTAGACTAGTCTTCCTTAAAGTAGCCTCAGAGTCATTCTCTTCTAATATATATATATAAAATAATATACACATTACTTGCCTCACACTGTTGTTGTGGGGAAAGTGTTTGATTAGCCCTACAAGCTTTATAAATGTGCTGTTGTTATTGATACTGGTTAAATATCACTTTCCTTACAGCTTGGGGGATAGACGGCTTGATTTGGCATTGAGTAGAGCTAGGGTCAAATTCTGAGGGCAGTTATGTGGCACAGAGAATAGATTGCCAGGCCTGGGATCAGGAAGAGTCATCTTCCTGAGTTCAAATCCAGCCTCAGAAACTCGCTAGCTGTGTGATTCTGTTCAAGTCACTTAACTCTGTTTGCCTCAGTTCCTCATCTGCAAAATGATCTGGGGAAGGAAATGGCAAACCACTCTACTATCTTTGCCAAGAAAATCTCAGATGAGGTCATGAGGAGTTGGACATAATGGAAACAACTGAACAACAACAGGGTCAGATACCAGTCTAGATATTTACTAGTTCTGAGGGTCTGAGTAAGTTGCTCAATGTTTCTGAGCCTTGATTTCCTAACCTGTAAGGTAGAGATGGTGATAACAGCTACTGACCAAAGTTGACATAAGGATCCAATAAGATCATGCACGTAAAGGGCTTTACAAGCCTCAGAGTACAATTGTCATGGTCAGATATCAGTTGTCAGAGTGTAATTGTTGTTATTATTGTTATCTGCTCCAAACTGGCCCCAATTCCTATGGAATTAAAAATATTATTCTCTGCTTGTGGGAATCTACTCTCATGATCTCCATTCAGTCTTACTTTTTCTTATGTGAGTTCCCTCAAACCCAGTATATAACTGAGCCAGATTGGTCTCTGAATAAACTCACTCCCATCATCATACCTTTACTCATGTTTTCCCCTTCCCTTGGAGTGCCCTCCCTTCCTACCTCCAATTATTTATCTCCTACCCATTCTTCAAGGCCCAGTACAAGTTTCATCTCTTCCATGAAGCCTCTCATAACTCTTCTAGTATTCATTGACTTCTCTTTTCTCTTAAGTTCCACAACATATTTCACACTACACAATGTAGAACTGCATCGTAAATGGTGTTGGGTTCTTCATTAGTGCTTCATGTACACTAGACTTGTTTTCCGAACTAGCTGTAAGCTCATTGGTTGAAGTGGTGGCTATGTTTGTTCTTTTTGTATGCCCTATAGCATCCAGCACAGGGCCAAACATATAACAGCCACTAATTGAACTCTCTGGACCCCAGTCTCCTCATCTGTAATAGGAGGGAGGTAGAAAAGATGACCCCTAAGATCCCTTTAAACACTTATCTGTCATCTTCTCTCACTCTGGACAAACCTCCACCCTGGGAGCCTGCTTTCATAATCCCATGACTGCCTGCCCAGGCCACAGTTTCACCAGGTGCCCCAGCCGCACTTCACTTCACTCACTTCTCAACCTCTACCACCTCCTCCCCTTCAGCCACCTCGTTTCTGCTGCCTGCCCTTTATTCGCCAACCACCATTTTCAAGTCCCTCTTGATGTAATCTCTTCCCTTATTAGAACTGAAGCAGTCTGAAAGAAGAGATTGTATTTCTTGTTCATAGTTTTGGACTCCCAGTACTTGGCACAGTGACTAATGAGAACTCTGTGCTCTCCCCCCCCCCACCTCTCTCTCTCTCTCTCTCCCCCTCTCTCTCTCTCTCTCTCTCTCGCCCTCCCTCTCTCTCTCTCTCTCTCTCTCTCTCTGTCTCTGTCTCTGTCTCTGTCTCTCCTCTCATTCTCTCTCTTTTTCCTGTCTCTCATTCTCGCTCTCTCTCCATACGCATTTACATATACACATATGTATAGACTTACATATGTAATTATCCTTGTGCTCATTGACTGTTTGATCAATCCCACAGATTCTGAGTAGACTTTGCTATCACCTAATTACAGCCACTGCAAGGAGTCACCAGAAGATGATTAGCACAAAAATCACATAACATGTAGCCAATTAAAAGTATCTAAGTGATGCAGTAGATAGAAAGTTAGGCTAGGACTTAGGAAGACCTGAGTTCAAATCCCGCCTCAGACACTCAGTAGCTGTGTTACCCTGATCTAGCCATTTAACGTCTTTATGTTTCAGTTTCCAAAACTATAAAATGAGGATATTCATAGCACCTACCTCCCTGGGCTGTTTTGAAGAGTAATTTGAGATAGTATTTTAAAGCACTTAGCACAGTGCCTGGAACATAGCAGGCACTTAATAAATGCTTGTTTTCTTCTCTCCAATCAATAATGCAGCAGGGGAAATGCAGTGGAGGGAACAACCACGTGGGCATTCCAGTGGCCCCCATGGAGACGGCTAGCCCAGGCCATATTCATAATCAAAAGCTCATGTTGAGAGGTGACCAAGCCACCTTTGCATCTTGTCTCTGGCTATATTCGTCTTTCAATACTGCTAAGCTTACAATTTTGGATCTAGTGAAATTTGAGAAGGGTTGCAGTCATCGGGTCTTCAATCTTGAGCTGGAAGGGATCTTCCAGACCAGCTAGTCCAACCACTCCTTTGTATAGATGGAGACATTGGAGGACCGTGGAGGCTAAAGACTTGCTGACAGTCACACACGTAGCAAGCGGCCAAGTCAGAATTTGTCTATAGTGCCTCTGCCCCCAAACAAATCCAGCCTTACCATAGCTTTTTCATTGTTGGTTTAGGCTTGTGATTTCATCTGTGTAGGGAAAGGGGCAGAAACTCCCTTTGCTCATTATAAATCCGTGATTTATCTACAACCTTTATCTCAGAGAAATGACTGGGGCACTGAGATTAAATGACTTGCCTAAGGTCACATTCTTGATACAGATAGAGTGGTGGGTCTGGAGTCAGGAAGACCTAAGTTCAAATCGAGCCTCAGACACTCACTAGCTGTGTGACCCTGGGCAAGTCACTAAATCTCTGTTTGCCTGTTCTACCAGAGAAAGAAATGGCAAGCCCGTCCAGTATCTTTGCTAAGAAAACCCCATACTGGGTTATGAAGAGTCTGTCTTGACTGAACAACAGAATAACAACACAGCAAGGTCCCCCAGTCAAGACATGTCAGAGGGATCACTTGAACCCAGATCAGAGACTTAGAATTCATCTTAGCTCCAAAGGTACCCAGATCGTCCTATCAGTGAATGGCCTGGGGTCAGCCTGTTGAGTGCCCTTGCTTGGCAGTGTATCTCTTTAGGGCAAATCATTTCTTTATTTTCCTAGTACTTAAAAAAATACCTGGCACATAACTGTTTAACCAATGTCAGCTGATTGACTGAGGAGAGTCCTAAGGACACATGGTTCTTGGAGAATTCATGAGAGAAAAATAACTGAGCTGGGCCAAGAAGCTGTTATGTAAATGTGCTATCCGCCATCCCCACCCACCCCTTTGCTATTGGCAAACCTTTGTTCACACCAAATGGAAAACTTGAGAAAAGATGGGAAAGAGAACAGGGTTACAAGGATGGGTGTCTCATGACTGTGTGGCCACGAAATCAAATCAGGCCGGCTTTGGTGATGGTTTCCAGGTGAACACATTTTTCTTTCTATGAGACAAAAGGAAAAAATAAAACAATAACAACAAGAAGGATTTTTTTTCCTTTGCAGATTCTTTGAATAAACAAAGAGTGGTTCCAGAGACAGTGAGCGACTATATGAGGTAGGTCACAGGATGGAGCCTTGTTCCCTCCAGGTATATCAGAGTCACATCTTTGAAGTCAGAGATAGGTGAGGGAAGAGGATTGTTCCTAGTAGCCCATTTTAATAATGGCAGCTAGGAAAAGAAATATTCTCCATTGGCCTTGACATGGTGCTAATGAGCTTTTGTTAGCTTGGAGCAAAAAGCAAGTTCTTTATCAAGAGAAGGAGATTAATTCAACTGCTCTTGGGTAGACTGGAAAGTCAATGGAACAGGCACATAGACAAGGCAGATAGCAGCCTTTCAAATGAATGTAATGAAATCCTTAAAACAGTTATGCTGAAGCAGTTACAGTGCCTTTCTCATTAATCAGAAAGGTTGATTAGCAGCCTAAATACTAACTTTTCTTTGTGGATAGACTCTGAAATGGGCAGTGCCCAGAGACAGGATGGTATGATGAAAAAAAGAAATTTCTGGATTTGGTTGGAGCCAGAAGAGCTGAATTCAAATCCTGTTTCTATCATTTACTGCCCGTGGGACCTTGAGCAGGTCACTTAAATCTTCTGGGCTGCACTTTCTTCACTTGCAAAATTAGGAGGATAGATTGGGTGTCTCCCAAGGACACTTCTAACCCTCAGTCTATGAGCCTATAGTCCTTTGTTCATTTGGTCCTTGGGAAGCTAGGTGGCAACATGGAGAAGTAAATGGCCTTAGGATCAGGAAGACCTGCCTTGGACTCTTCATGTGTCCCTGAGCAAATCCATTAAAACTTTCAAGCTTCAAACTCCTCATTTATAAATTTTGGCTAATAATAGCATTCACCTCATAAAATTTTGTGAGAACTAATCCAGTGAGATAAAGTGCTATATAAATCCTAGCTATTATTATTATCGACAAAATGAGAATCACTTGGCAGACAAGATCTGCACACATGAGAAATGGGCAGGAAAACCCTTAGCTGTAGTATACAGGGTGGCAAGTGCAAAGCAGGCTTATTTAGTGAAATCAGTTTCCAGTAGCCAGGGATAATAAAGAGCCTTGAGTCCTTGTTGCTGAGGATGTGTTGAAGAAATTGGGCATATTTATCCCGGAGAAGAGAAGATTCAGGTAGGACAAAATATCTGCCTTCAAGTATTTGCAGGAGGAGTTCAGTTTGCTTTATTGGTCCCAAGAGGAACCAGGAACAGTGAGGGAGAAGGGGGAGAGTGGGGAAAAAGTGGAGATTTAGGTTTGATATTGAGGAATCTTCCTAAGCAGAGAACTAGTCAAAAGTGGAATTAACTACCTAGAGAGGTGGGGGGGGGAGGTCCTTGGAGGTCTTCAAGCAAAGGCCTAAATGACCACCTCCCAAAGGTATTAGAACTGGGATTCCTTTTAAGTAGGTGTTGAACTAAATGTCTGCCAAGGTCCCTTCCAGCTGTCAATTTCTATGGTTCTGAACAGCCTCACAATAGTCTTAAAGAGTTGCCTGGGGGGCAGCTAGGTGGCTCCAGTGGATAGAGCATTGGCTCTGGAGCCAGGAAGACCCTAGTTCAAATCTGGCTTTAGACACTTACTAGCTGTGTGACCCTGGGCAAATCACTTAACCCCAATTGCCTAAAAAAAAAGTTGTTTGGGATGCAGAGAGTTTAAATTACTTGCCTAGGTAGGATTACACAGCCAGTTTATGTCAGTGGTAGGATTTGAACCCATGTTTTCTTGACCTGAGTACAGATATCTTTTTACCACACCATGCTGCCTTCTTAAAAGGTAATTGTGATAGATATGATTGTTGTTGTTATTATTATTATCATTTTACAGGAAGGGATTGTGAGAATCACAGTAGCAAAGTGATTTGCCCATAGTCAGCTGATTATTCCTAACAGTGGGATTCAAATCCATAACGGTCCACACTCTAAAACCAATGCTCTTTCTCCCACTCCACCCAATAGGATTCCTTCCAAAGTATCTAATCAAAGCTGGGCCCTTCCTACCTATTGCTGGTAAATACCACCGACCATTTGAATACTAATAGTTCACAGGAGGATTCCAGAGCAACCTGAATTGTGTAGCTGAGAGGCATAGTAGGCATTTCTGCAACCTGAACCCATGCAGATACCATGCAAATATGATGATAAGGAATTTGCTAGTAAGGAGCTTTGTGTCTGTACACATAGCCTTCCACAGGCCCACGGCTAGCCACTCAGAACCATACTGCCAGAAGTGTATTGAATCTGATAGTCTGGGACTGCAAAAAATCTTTCTAAAGGAAGGAGGCACCTGCCTACTTGGGTCAATGGCTCTTGCCCTTGGAAACTGAACAGGTGACAATGGAATCTCGTTTGGGAGGTGACAAGTTGCCAACTGTGAGCTTACTCAGAAATGCACTTAAAGAGGGATTTCCAGCTCCTCCTCAATTCTCTTCTCTGGTCTCACCAAACCTGTTTGTTGTATTCAGTGTAGGAGAGAAACTAGAGAAGAAGGAATTTAAAGGTGGATGGAAAAGGTCAGGGACAGAGGCTGTTGGAGCTTATCAATTTCATCTAGGGAGGTCCCATAACACAGTTCTGGGGTCTCTGGAACATGTGCCTAGATCTCCCCTCACCTAAAAGAAGCCTTCCTTTGCCCCTCTTGACCCCAGTCACCTATTGTTCCGCTCTTTTCTCTGTTTCACTGTGCAACTCCTTGAAAAGTGGTCTACAGATGCTGCCATTTTTTTCCCTGTCTTGGCTTGGGGGCACTTGGCTTCTGTTTACAAATGAACACCTAATTTCCAAGTCCAATGACCTTTGTTTAGTCTACAATCTCTTGGACATTTCTGCTACCTTACCAGGAATCATGCCCTGGAAGACTTAACCCTTTTAACTCCATACACTTCGAGCTGAAATGGACTTGGGAGGCTGAGTCAAACCCTCTCTTTTTGGAGAGCCCTTGAAACAATGGACTACAGCTATCTTGCATCCCCCTTCCCCCACCCCCATCTTCTCTTCTGCTGGCTAAGCAGTCCCAGTTCCTTCACCAGATCGTCATAGGTGCTTCTTTGGAGCCTTTCCCATACTGGTTTGCCTCCTTCGGACACTCTTTAGCTCATCAAGGTTCTTCCTAAAAGGTGGTACCCAGAACTACATAGTCAGATCAAGGGACAATAGAACAGAGCCATGGCTTCTCTGTCCTAGACACTGCCTGTCTTCATGGACCCTTCATGGATCACCCTTCAGACCATAGTGATCATGCATTCCATAGATGAATTACCGTCCAGCTGAGCTTTCTTTAGCGTGTACTTATGGAATTGATTTCTTGAACCCAAGTGAAAAACTTCATAAAACTAATAAATTTCATCTTATTTGGTCTGGCCCAATATTCTTGGTAGTGGAGACCTTTTTGGATCCCGACAATGTTAGCTATCCCTCCAGGTTTTGTGTCATGTGTAAAATACGATCAGTGCTGAAGGTTTGCCTTTATCCAAATCATCCATCTAAATGTCAAACACAGCAAGGCAAGTATAGCTTCCTGGAGCACTCACCCTTCTTTCCAGGTTGTCTTTGAAACTTTAATGACTCTTCTGTGGGTCAGGCTACTCAACCAATTGTTTTTCATCCACCTGACTGTAAGCTACTTGAGAACAGAGACTGGTTCATTTTGTCATTGTATCCCTAGCACCTGGCATAGTGCCTGGTACAAAGAAAATGCCCGATAAGTGTCTGTTTGGTTGACTTACCATCCAGCCTCTCATACAAAAAGAGCTGGGAGAGGGCAAATGCTTGATAAAATCTATGCATATTATGTCTCTAGCTTTGCCTGATCTAGTAACTTGTATACTTCAGTGGGTCTATGATCTCATCAACATGGTACTCCCTGCAGTGACAGAGATGGGACTAACCAATCCATGCTTTCTCATGCAATGGGACTTCTATACATGTCTTTTAATGCATTCCACACATTCCATACCTATTATGCCAAGGACTTTTCCTGGATCTCTTGACACTTTGTGAAGACCATCAGAGAATGCAAGCTGTCCATTGGTGATCCTTCACATTTGAGGTAGTACAGTCAGGAAGACCTAAGTTCAAACCTCACTTCAGACACTTACTAGCTGTATGATGCTGCATGTCACCTATTTGCCTCAGTTTCCTCATCTGAAAAAAGAGGATAATAATAACACCCACCTTCCAAAGTTGTTGCATGAGGATCCAATGAAGCGATATCTGTAAAGCACTTTGCAAGCCTTGGGCTCACCTCCTGTTCTGTTCATGCATTTCTGATAGATTTTTATGTTACTCGTTTCTTATTTGATAATACACTTTAGCCCCCAATGTGGATCTCTCCACTGGTACTTGGTTGACCTGTAGAGATTTAATTCTTTAGGGATAATGCTAATCTATGCTTTCCAGTCTAACAGTATCACCAGGAAAGTGTTGGAGTGTAAAGGTAGACCTTTATTTAGGGTAAAACTTGGGGTTCTTAAAAGCATTGCACCATTTCCCAAATACAATTCAGCCTGCTCCTCTCCTCCTGATCACCCATGGTCTTTATGATAATCTAACCATAATGCCTGTCCAGGGGATATATTCCAATTGTCCATCAGAGTATATATCATAGCCTGGAAAATAGCCATTCTTCACTTATTTGATTATTGCTTAGGAGAGTTTGGCAGGAATCTTTTGAATGATTATGGGTGTTCTTTAAGAGTCTTTGTAATGCTCCAGAGCTTGATGCAATCCATGTAATATCCTCCAAAAATAGAAGTATTTTGAGGACATCACCATCTGTAGAAAACCTCCTATCTCCTGGAAATTTTCCATGACAGTGGCAAAGGCCTTTGGTAGCTCACTTCTCTTTGTTTTCTGTCTCACTTGACATTTCAGAACCAAGTTGTCTGTTGTTGTATATCTCAAGGATTCTTGGATAATTTTAATCTATTCATGGGAGATGATTTCTTGGAAGAGAGCCTTCAGAGATTTATTTTTTTCTATCAAATCAAATGTTTTATTGGGTTAAAAATAATAAGCATAAAGGTATCTTACAGTGTCTGTCCCTTTTAG